GCACTGCGGGATGGGAAGGGGTGGGGGCTCCCAGGGGCTTCCGCGGCTGAATGAGCAGACGGCAGACGGGAGGGGAAGGGCTTCTGTGTAGGCAAGCGGGACGCTGCCTCGGCGCGGGCACCCAGAGACAGGTCGCATGATCCCACGCGGGATGGGGCTGCCATCGGGGTGGGAGTGAGACCAATGGGTGGAACTGACCCAGGCCTGCCAGAGTCCCCCAGATCCACCACCCCTTTGCCATCCATGGCACCCCCTTACCCCCTTCTCCACAAAGTCCAATGCAGGAGGCTGGTGCTGAGGTGGGGTCCTGAAGCCAGAGCACCCAGCCCAGGCCTGGCTTCTCCACTTACCTGCTGGGGGCTCTCTAGGAACTCTGCTCTTTGAGCCTCACCCTCCTCACCTGTAAAAATGGAAAGTCATTTTTCTCCTGGGGTTGCCATGAGGACTGGGGAAGACTCCCTATGTTATACGTCCACCTGCTGCCAGCACTCAGGCTGTGTTGGTGCCCTGCCCCCTCATTTCACCCCCAGTCAGGGAATCCTGAACTGATGAAAGTCACTTGGGTAGCTGTGTGATTTAAGTTCCCTTTGGGGCATGTGGGCCTGGCCTGACACTCCCCAGAATTTGTGGGAAGATTGTGGGAAGGTCAGCTCTGTGACCAGGAGAAGACTTTGAGCCCCAAGGTGTGCCCAGGCCCATGGTCCCTGGGAAGAGGGGGCACCCGGTGCTACGGCTTCCCTGGCTCTAAGGCAGGCGCCTCTTTCACGAACGTGGGGATGACAACAGGCACAGTAGGACCAACAGCAGTCTCCCCACCCAGCCCAGCCCAGCCCCCAGAGTCTAGACTTTCAGGCAGCTACCGAGGAGCCTTCATGAGCACGTCTGGCTGCCAGAGGGGAGCCTTGGAGTTGTCCTGCTCTATCCCTAACTCCCAGCCAGACCTCTCTTCCCACACTGCTGGCTTCAGAAAGCATCTTCCAACCTTGGCTTCTTCCCCGGTTCTGTCCCAGGGCCACCCCCACTGAGTCACTGCCTTCTGCTCCCTCCCTCCCCTTCTGCTGCCCACTGGCACCCACCAGCCAAGGCCCCCAGGAGCCCTAAGAGCTGGGGGGGACCTGCTGGCAGGCACACATACCCCTGTGAATGCCAGAGGCAAAGAAAAGCCTCAAGCCACAGGCTATAGCTGACCCTGGCACCCTGGGCACAGCAGGCAGATTCAGGGGAGGTACAGCCACACTGAGATAGAGGCAGGGCTAGGCCCTGGTTTCTCCACTCCACAGAGAATGTGCATTGTAAGCTTCACGGAAACAGAGACTGTATGTTATCCACTTCCGTCCTTCCAGCATCCGGCACAGGGCCTGGCACAGAATAAATGCTTTGGGGCGCTTGACACTCATCACACTACCCCTGCCCTCCTGAGGCTCCACATCTATGTATCAGATGGAAACCAGAGTCACAAATGGAGACAGATTCAGAGACTTAGCCCGAAAGGAGACAGAAGAGGCAGAGAGCTACAGGTTGCATGGCCCCAGGATGGCAAAGGTACAGATAGAAATGAGGACACACTGAGGCCTAGTGGGGAATATTGGGGAGCTGGGCCTGAAGCCAGCCAGGGGTGGCTGACCACAGCAGGCTTTGTGGGCTGAGCTTGCAGGACTGAGCAGTGACTCATGGGGCCCATCTCTGTGGCTCTCCTGGCACCAGAATCAACTCACAGCAGCCTTTTCCACTGAGATCATAAAATGGGAATGGGCCTCCCTCCCCTGACCCTTCCCCAACTCTCCCTCAGCCTCCCATTTCTTGCCGACGTGACTCAATCAAAAAATAAAATGGGCCGGGCACTGTGGCTCATGCCACAAAATCCCAGCACTTTGGGAGGCCAAGTCAGGGAGATCACCTAAGGTCGGGAGTTCCAGACTGGTTTGGCCAACATGGCAAAACCCTGTCTCTACTAAAAATACAAAAATTAGCCAGATGTGGTGGCGGGCTTCTGTAATCCCAGCTACTTGAGAGGCTGAGGCAAGAAAATCACATGAACCTGGGAGGCAGGGGTTGCAGTGAGCCAAGATCACGCCACTGCACTCCAGCCTGGGTGACAGAGCGATACTCTGTCTCATAACTAAATAAATAAAAAGGGAGGGGAGGGCTCTGGGCCTCACTGGGCCTAGTGACAACAGACCCATAGTCATTCGCCTTGCACACCCCTCTTCAGTACTACCCCAAATACTGAGGGCAACAAATACCCCAGAACTTTCAGACCTCACTTGCCTTTGACCTAAATAAACTCCAGACTCCTTGGTATGACAGTCAAGGCCACTTAGAAGCATCACAGCCTTCCCATCTACCTCCCAGACTGGCCTGGAAAACAAATCTGATTACTAGTCTAGTCTCACACTGGCTCCTCTTCTTGAAGGCCCATGCCCATCTCCCCTAATCAAAATCCTTCCTCCATTGAGGCCTGGGTGCAGCACCTCCTTCACGAAGCCTTCCCCAGCCAAGTTCTTTCAGCTCAAGCCACCCTGCCCAGTCACATGGCAAGGACCCATGGATGAGCACTTGATGCATTTGCTCTCCTGCATCCAAGACACCTGCCTACCTCCCCATCAAACCCACCATGCTTATCTGCCCCATGACTGCAACCTCTGCCTCCCAGGCTCAAGTGATTCTCCTGCCTCAGCCTCCGCAGTAGCTAGGATTACAGGCATGTACCACCATGCCCAGCTAATTTTTGTATTTTCAGTAGAGATGGAGTTTCGGCATGTTGGCCAGGCTGATCTTAAACTCCTGACCTCAAGGGATCCACCCGCTTCGGCCTCCCAAAGTGCTGAGATTATAAGCATGAGCCACCACACCCAGCCTGACAAATAATGACATTTATGATCCCTTACCTTGAGCCAGGCTATGGGTAGATTCTTCCCATTAAATTTTATCATTTAATCCTGACAGCAGCCTTATGAAGTGAGTATGATTATCTCATTTGAGAGATGAGGACACTGAGGCTCAGAGAGAGCATGTAACACACCCAGAATGACACTGGTGAGTGGCAGCTGGGGCTGTTGACTTGAAAGTGTTGACTACAGCTGGGTGCGGTGGCTCACACCTGTAATCCCAGCACTTTGGGAGGCGGAGGCGGGTGGATCACCTGAGGTCAGAAGTTTGAGACCAGCCTGGCCAACAATGGCAAAACCCTGTCTCTACTAAAAAGACAAAAAATTAGCCGGGCATAGTGGCGGGCACTTGTAATCCCAACTACTTGGGAGGCTGAAGCAGGAGAATTGCTTGAACCCGGGAGGCAGAGGATGTGGTAAGTCGAGATCATGCCATTGCACTCCAGCCTGAGTGACCTGAGTGACAGAATGAGACTGTCTCAAAATAAATAAATAAATAAATAAATAAATAAATAAATAAATAAATATTTAAAAAAAAACTGTTGACTACTAGTTAACTACAAGGCCTTATCACTGTGGACTGTGCACAACCTGAAGGCAAAGCCCAAGTCACTCTTCCTTCTCATCACACCTTCCCTGCACATAATGCAGAGAAAGTAAAGGTAAGTTGGCTTAAAGTATAACCTTCTAAGTGTCTCAGAAGTCCTTCAGATTCAGAGAGCCAGAAAGTAAGTTAGTTATTACCTAGGGCTGAGGAGGGCCAGGGATGAGGACTGACTGCTAATGAGTACAGGGTTTTTTTGGGGGATGATGAAAATGTTCTAAACTTAGATTGTGGTAAGGGCTGCACAACCCTATGGGTATATTCAAAACACTGAACTGTACACTTTAAATGGGTGAATTTTTATGGTATGTGACTTATATCTCAAATGTATAGATATATATGGTTTTTGTTTTTGTTTTTGTTTTTTGAGATGGAGTCTTGCTCTGTTGCCCAGGCTAGAGTGCAGTGGTGCAATCTCGGCTCACTGAAACCTCCGCCTCCGGGGCTGAAGCAATTCTGGTTCCTCAGCCTCCCAAGTAGCTGGGACTAAAGTCATCATACCCAGCTAATTTTTTGGATTTTTGGTAGAGACAGGGTCTTGCTATGTTGCCCAGGCTAGTCTTGAACTCCTGGCCTCAAGCAAACCACCTGCCTTGGCTTTCCAAAGTGCTGGGATTATAGGTATGAGCCACTGTGCCCAGTTCTCAAAGATTTTTTTTTTTTTTTTTTAAGATGGAGTCTCTCTATGTCCTCCAGGCTGGAGTACGGTGGCATGATCTCAGCTCATTGCAACTCAGCCTCCTGGGTTCCAGCCATTCTCCTGCTTCAGCCTCCCGAGTAGCTGGGATTACAGGTGAATGCCACCATGCCTGGCTAATTTTTGTTATTTTTAGTAGAGACGGGGTTTCACCATGTTGGCCAGGCTGGTCTCAAACTCGACCTTAGGTGATCCACCTGCCTCAGCCTCCCACAGTGCTGGGATTACAGGTGTGAGCCACCGTGCTGGGCCAAATTTTTTTCTTCTTTTAAGTCATTTAGACACCAGTGGAATTGGATTTGGGACTGCTTTAATCTAGGGATTTGTTTTCTTTTGTTTGTTTTTGTTTTTGTTTTTGCTTGAGACGGAGGTTCACTCTTCTTTCCCAGGCTGGAGTGCAATGGTGTGATCTCAGCTCACTGCACCCTCTGCTGTTCTCCTGGGTTCAAGCAATTCTCCTGCCTCAGCCTTCCTGAGTAGCTGGGATTA